ACTCGAGCCTACGCCGTAAGGCGGCTAGTGAAATAGGCAGAAAGACATTGCCATTGCCCTTCTGCTAATGAAGGAATCCGCGGCTCGGGTGGTACACCACTTGGGTCTGGATACGACTGGCTGACGACGGCCAATAATTCGGAAATTGCTATTCCAGTCTCCCTTGTCTTTGCTGACAGTACTATCTGCTTAAGATCAGTAACAGTGCTGCGCGACTGAAAGACATAGGTAGCGAACGCATGATAGTCAGCTCCCAAGTTAAGTGACGCAACCAGACTCAAGAGAACACATAAGCCGCCAGAAGCAGAACTTGAAGACATACCTATCCACAAATTCTGCCTCCTTGCTAGTGGACGGGGCGGCGGTAGCCGGTGGTGACTCTTGGCACCAGCTCTTGGTAAGGCCGTTCAGCCACTCGATCAACCTCATTACCAGATTTCGGGGCGCATCAACACGGCCAGAAGAGGCGGCTTTGATGCGGCTGATCTGTTGGATGACTAGGTGGATCAACAGGAGCAAGGCAGTCAGCTGGGAAGACTCCGCGCCGCTAACTGAGTCAAAGTCGGAGGACCTGCGTGAGTGTGAAACATTAAGAGACAATCTTTAGCATGAAGGATGGCGAATGTTACATGAAAAGTTTGTGACGAAAGATGACTTTGTCGTTTACTATGTATTTAATCCGGAAAAAGCCTCTTAGTAAAGAAAACTGCCTTTCTAGTTAAGTTTATTTAAGGTAATGGACATGAATTTTGGCGAAATTGGGAGCAGTCTCATATCGTAGGAAGTTCCTATGCTAAATTAACTTTTTAGTAAAAGACATAAGGTTATGGGAGAACTACAAAATAAGTTTACAAAATGTAAAACATATCCGTTCCATAACCGGAAATGTTATCCAAAATTGTTTAGGGGAAAGTGAAGCCAAGTTTAAGAAATCGCATTTATTTTGAGAAACAAGGAACAATTTCAGTTTTGAAACATATTTGTTGCTAACATTTGAAGCTTTCTGTCACAAACTGCAGTAAAAAGTTTCGAGTGCATTTTATTTATCGCATCAAGTTTTAAGGATGTAACCAAAATCTGGCCATATATTATCTTATGTAATCGAAACCATGTAAAAATATGCTTTTTTGTACACTATAATTTCCGCTTATGCATAGTTTAGAGAAGGAACAGACAGAAGTATAATACTTAGGTCAAAACTTTGCTATATATATGGCCATTGCTTTCTGCATTCGCAAACTTAGAATAGAGCCTGGAAGTGATCCGCTATGGCAGAAAATAATCCAATATAAAGAGAAAAGTGAGTTCTTTCATTTCCAGTCAAAGTCAATCATTTATCTCCATTTTCTTTTCCACACTCGTTTGGAAAAAGGTTACATACACAAAAAATCGTCAGCTGAATTACTAATTAAAATGCTTTTTAAAGAGGTTAGCTACTGTAGAGGGTTTTTTAATCTTAGACGTTCTTTCTGTTCGACAATGTGTTTTGCTGTTTAAAGGTATTTTTTACTAGGGCCACATGGCTATCTTCATAAGAAACAATATTCAATAACTCTTTTTTTTTCGGTAAATGTTCTTAATTGATATCTTATTTTAAAAATGTTGATATAAAAGTCAAACGGAATCTGGATTTATGAGCGAAAGCTTGAAAACACTGAAAACGTTGGAAAATATGTCGGAACTTGAAGTTTATTGTTCAATAAATTGTAATCCAAAAACGATTATATGTATAAAAATGCTCGACTAGAGAAAAGTTCTTTTGATATAAAGAAAATGGTATCGTCCAACTTTAAATTGACGGTAAGATTTAAATTTAGTGTTCTAATTTGTAGTTATTTTTTTGAACACGGGAATTATTAAAATTTAGTTTTCCTTAACAAACAAATAGTACTTCGTATATTTCTTTCAAGTAACAAAATTGCCTAAGGTTGCTCATTATTATTTATAAATCTTCGTACATGCGTTAATGCCGGTTTGCTGGTGATTATCAATCTTCCGCAAACTTTAGCATTTTACACAACTTATGCGCCGAACTGCACATACAGAAAGGTACTTTCAGGGTAGTGTTTGGTCTAAGGTGCACAGGGGGCCTAGAAAGGCTAAGGAACAGCCGGCAAGGAGATCAGACAAAAAAATAACACGGACTACCTAAGTCTTGAGGACGAAAGCCAGTGTAGAATATCGGCCACCAGAATAGCTGGTGAATCCAACCGCAGACGGTCGGCGGCACCTTGGCTGGCTAATGCATCCGAAATTCTGGCGTCTCGAGCAAGCGCATAGAGACAAAGAGGGAGCAGCTTTCTGCAAACCAGGCAAGCCGGAACCAACCAGGCCACACAGTCATGCAAGCGAACAAATAGCCGTTGTCGTGGTTTCTCGGTGTTAGTTTTGAGTCCGCCAGGCGCGGGCAACACGAAGAGCGCAGACAGGAGGCGTATTCGATGACTGGTGTCCTTCGCGTCGCTGGATTCACCAGTGTCTTTAAGGTATAAATATGGGAAAAAAGGTGCTACTTGCTCGGCCACTGACAGTGCGTGTTGACTGGATGAAG